TTCCTTCCTTCCTTCCTTCCTTCCTTCCTTCCTTCCTTCCTTCCTTCCTTCGTTTATCTTGTGTGCTGCCCTCCCCTGCACCCCCAGTCCCTCCCATGGCCCAATCAAACAATGTCCCAACTGGAGACATTCTTCCACACACTCCCCTCCAGGGGCAGGGTGACTTGTCCTTGACTTTTAAGAAAGAATGTTGTTGAGTTTAATCTTCTACCCCACTGTGAAGTCCCCCCTCCCAAATTCCCAGGCACTGAATGTGGCAGCCTCAAAGCTTCTAAGTAAAACAGGGCTTCCAAGACTGACAGTTACCTTTTCGAGGGGAAACACACCTTTGGGACAATCATGTCCTGGATGACGGACAATCGTGTGGCATCTTGGCTGGCCAGGCTGCTTTGGGAAGGGACCTCTCACCAAATAATACTTTGTTTCATCTCCCCGCCCAGCCCCGTCTATCTGCACTGCCTCAGGAGATCCCCATTACACCACCTTTGACGGCCGTGTCCACCATTTCATGGGCAACTGCACCTACACCTTGGCTAAACTCTGCACCAATTCCACCAAGGGCCTAGAGGCCTTTGATGTGTCCACCACCAATGAGCACCGGGGCTCCAACCTGGCCGTGTCTTACGTCAACTCAGTGCATGTGGCCGTGTACGGAAGCCGAGTGTCCTTGCTGAAGAACAGGAAGGTTAATGTAAGCAGATCCACCTTCTGGGGGCTGCTGGGTGACCCAGTCTTTCCAGAAAGTCCCAGCTCGTCTGTGGGATCAAACTGAGAACCCCAAAAGCAATCACGAAGGCCGACTGCAGGCGTTACGTATTCCCCGTGATCTGGAGAGATTCGCTCCAGAAGATAACGAGAGGGGCTCGTCTAGGCAAAACGATACGTTCATATTTATACATTTCAGGAAAGGAGGAGAAAATGATAGTTGGTCCTTGGGGCTCTCTGAACTTGGTTCTTGCTCTCGTTTCATGACCCAGGAACGTCATCAGTGCTAGAAGGGAATGGGGTTTGGGGAGGGAAGGGGGGAGGGGGAGGAATAATTGTGGGGTCCTTGGGGCTCTCTGAGCTTGGTTATTTTCATGCAGATATTTCACGACCCAACTAGGGAACGTCATCAGTGCTAGAAGGAGGGTGGATGGTTAATTTTTTTTAAGCTCAGCTGCTATGTGTTTTCATTTTACGTTACAGGCAGTCCTTGTCTTACAGCCATTCACATAGTGACAGTTTAAAGTTACAACAGCACTGAAAAAAGTGACCTAGGACTGATTTTCACACTTACGACCATTGTAGCATCCCCATGGTCACCTGATCAAAAATCAAATGCTTGGAAACTGACTCACTTTTATGGCGGTTGCTGTGTCCCGGGGTTAAACATGGTCCCCTTTTGCGACCTCCTGACTAGCAGAGTCCATGGGGAAACCAGATTCACTTAATGACCTACTCCTAACTCTTAAGTTAGTGATTCCTAAGTGATTGGCTTCACAACTGTGCAGAGAAAGGATGTAAAATGGGGCAAAACTCCCTTAACAAATGTCTCACTTAGCAACAGAAATATTGGGCTCAATAGTGGTCCTATGCCGAGGACTGCCTGTATGTATGCGTTTGGTAAGGCGCCTATGTAAAAGGGGGGCTCTCTAACCTCCCTCCAACAGAGAGCGGCATAGAAGGCCTGGTGGGATTCTGGTTGGGAGAAAGAGCCACGTCTTAGAAAATAGCGTTGAGAGGATCATCTCCATCAGCTGCCCAGGGCCTGTACTTGGCCTGAGCCCAGCGGGTGGCCGTTTGGGCAGGAGAGACCCAGCCGCGTGCTGGGAAGGGGCTTCAGCCTTTAGGGCAGGGGTTCGGGTCCCAAGGAGCCTTCCTGAGTGCTTGTTCCCACGTGGGGAAAAGCAGTGAGGGGGTTTCCTCAGCTTTTCTCGTTGAGGGTGGTGGCAGGGCGTGACTCTTGTTGGAAATCTTCCCCAGGTCAACAGCACTCGGAAGAACCTGCCGGTGTATGTCGGAGGCAACAGGATCGTGGTGCAGTTGAGTGGCGGCTACGTGATCCTGAAAACAGACTTTGGCCTGAGCGTCCGCTTTGATGGGAACCAGTATGTGGAAGTCGCCGTGCCATCCGAATATCAGGGACAGCTCTGTGGCCTGTGTGGTGAGACATGGGACATTACGTGGGCAAGAGTGGGGCAACCCTTGAAGGAGGATAAGAGTTGGAATCAGTAGGAGCAAAGATTGGTGGTCAGAATTTAACAGAGTTGGAAGGGGCCTTGGAGATCATCTAGTCCAGCCCCCTGCTCAAACAGGAGACTCTCTACCGTTCCAGACCAGTGGCTGTCCAGTCTCTTCTTAAAAACCTCCAGCGATGGAGCAGCCACAACTTCCATTCTACTGTTCTAATTGTCGTGAAATTCCTCCTAGGTTACTTCTCTCCTTGATTAGTTTTGGTTTCTGGTCTACAGCTCTTTGCTGACCAGGCGAGGATGGGACCCTCCCTTTAAAACAGGATGTTAAATGTAGATCAGATAAAGAAATGGGGCGCCAGGGATAAATGTTTTCTCTTTCCCACCCTCCAAAGGTAATTTCAATGGGGATCCAGGAGATGACAACCTAAAGCCTGATGGACAACCTGCAGGAGACTCAACTCACCTCGGAAACAGCTGGCTTGTCCCAGACAACAGTGGCGTGTATGTTCTGTTGGCATAGACTTAGCTGAGTGTCCGGCTCCAAAAATCAAGAAAAGCATGTTGTGGTTCTTCGAAGCAAATGTCTTTATTGTTCCTCGCCTAAAGACAGAATCTTGCCAAACTAAAGCAAGCTACCACCCTTATAAAGCAAAGGCTCTGGGAATGGTTAGGGAGGAGCCATCTTCCCACTCTTTCTCCCACACAAACGGCGTGAACTGAGTTGTCTCTGTTCCTCCCTTCCCTCCCTTCCTCTTGGGAATCCAGACTATATTCCATCACACTGAGGCACGTTTTGCGGAGGGAATGGCGCAAAGATCTCCGGTGATGGGAGTCTCTTAGCTCTACAAGCGCCTTCCTCATAAGTGGTGCTCCTCGTGTTCAAAGAGTTCTGAGAGGTCCTTGATGCTGAGCTTGGTTGCACTGGTGGGGGTGCCGGGCTGCTGCCGTGGGTGGAATGCAGCATTGCAGGCAAACTCTGCATTCCTACGGCCAGCAGTTCAAGCTTGACTGGCTCAAGGTTGCCTCAGCCTTCCTTTCTTCCAAGGTGGATCCAATGAAGGCCCACCTCGTTTTTGTTTGGGGCAAGAGGCTGACTCTGTAGACCGCTTAGAGAGGGCGTAAAGCACTGTGAAGCGGTATATAAATCTGCATGCTATTGCTATTGCTATGATGCACAGAGCTTGCACTGATGATGCTCCCTAGTTTGGGCAATGGAATATCTGCAAGAAAATAATTAAGCTCAGAGAGCACCAAAGACCCTTCATTTCAGCCCTGAGCTATGAATATTCTCCTTTATTATTTATTTGTTTGTTTGTTTGTTTAGTTATTTATTCCCTGCCTTTGTTTTGGTATAAATAACTCGAGACAGTGAATATCTCCACCACACCTTCCTCCTAACCCTGACCCTAACCGCTCTTGGGTGAGGAGATTTCCAGATGAGGGACCGTCACTTGGTCGGCCCCTCCAGGGGTCGAATGCTGCTTCCCATCGTGCCTCTTCATCTTTCGTGGGGGAGGGGGGCCTACTCAGTGTCCCCCCCAATAAGGATGGTTGGAAGCCACAGGAGACCCTAGTGGGATTGTCTTGAGCCATATCTCCCCTCCAACAGATGTTCCGGCCCATCAGAATCATGTGACCCAAAGCTGGAGGAGGAAATTCGGAGGAATTCCGCTTGCCGCCTGATCACAGATCCAACAGGTAAAGCTCTCTGGTGGGACAGAACGGCTCCAAAGTGGACCTGCTGTCTCTCGAATTGGGAGCTCGCACCGCCTTCAAAAGCGCAAGCCGGGCGTGTTAAGATGAGAGGGCAGATTTGCAACACTGCACCCTAGACAGGCCCCTTGACCAGGGCTAATGCTTGGGGGCAGGAGCTTTGCAGGGTGTGTCTCCCCCAGTTTCAGCCCAGGGGTCCAAGCTGAGACAAAGGCACCCGTGAGGGGCTTTGGCTGGGAGAACCCCTCGAGGAAGCCAGGATCCTGCCTTTGTCTGTTTAGCCTCCGGAGGGCCCCTGGCCATGCTGACTCCCTCTTCCCCTTTTGCCCAGGGCCCTTCAGGCAGTGCCATGCGGTGGTGGACCCAACCCATTTCCTGGAGAACTGCATTTATGACGTGTGCCTCACCCAAGGACAGCAGACCTCCGTGTGCCATGGGCTCCAAGCCTACGCTGCCTCCTGTGCCAACGCTGGGCAGTGCGTGGAATGGCGGAACTCCACCCTCTGTCGTAAGTGCTGCGCTTGGGGACGGGGGGAGTGAGGGGAGCCTTGGCAGGGAGGATCGGAAGGGATCTGGGACCGGCTCAGGAGAACCAAAGGGTTAGAGTTGGACACCCAGGGGGCTGTGAGGGGGGG